GCATATTCCTATCAGAGAGGGTCTTCTAAGTTAAATTTCATTTTTCAGTGACTATATTTTCAAATGTTTAAACCTAATGACCTAATCTTTTTAAAGCAGAAGTCCAATCATTTTATTAGTTTTAAATGAGTGCAATCTCAATACAAACTAGTAGTCCCATCACTGGAGCCATTTTTAAAATGTTATTGTATTATTTATCCGATTAACCAATTAATCGAACTTAATAATCGGCTAACTAATCGATTTTGAAAATAATCGTTAGCTGCAGCTCTAGGTAGAACCCTTGTCAGGCTTTTATTGTTAAAGGAGAACTATGGGGTCAGGGCTTTTCCCCATAGTTCTCCCCAGGGTCCCCAGGATCACGGGAGGACACAAACTAGCATCCTCCTGTGACCCAAAGCTAAGTATATCGCGGGCTGTAGCTGTATACTGAGACGGCGCAGCCGGGACGGATCCCGACATTACTGTCTGGATCCACCCAGCTGCGTGAGTGACAGCTGGCTCTGCCTATCTAGAGGCAGAGCGCGCTGCAACCGCCCCCTCCCCCGTCCGTTCCGCCAGTCAGTGGGTGTCCCTTCTCGGACGCAGACAGGATCCATCCTGTCTGCGTATGGACACCCGCACCTGCACGGACGTGCAGTTCGGGTGAGCGTACGGCCGCGTACTCCCATAGAGAAGAACAGGCTGCTGCGTACAAATCACACGCAGCACCTGTCCTTCCCGGGAGCGGCCCAATACGGCTATGCACGTAGCACGGATCTGTACGGGCCGGCTGTTAGTCATGTGAATGAGGGCTAAATGCTTTAATGGCTGTAATCTGTTGATTAAGTTGACCAGATTTTTTAAATAATTTTTTTTTTAATTTGCAAATGGTAAAAAAAATTAAAAAAATTAGCATATGTTTGTCCCCCCTTTTTATATCCATCCACCCATTTCCAATCCATCCCCCTAATTTCATATCCATTCCCCCCATTTCATCTGGGGGAATGGATATAAAATGAGGGGAAGCCCTTTCAGCATTGAAGCACTTTTTTTTTAGTTTTTTCTCTCTAAAAGCACCCTTTCAGTACTGAAGCACAGAGCACACTACATAAAGCTTCCATCTTCACACTGGAAGCTTTTATTTATTAAAATAAATAAATACATAAATATAAATGTATATTGTACACGAGCGGCTGGTTTTAAACAGACAAATTACGTAAGTTTGAAGTTATAACTTCAAACCATTAATTTCACTTTAAATTGATAAATAATACATTTTTAAATGTTATATATTCATATTATTTATTTTAGTAATAATATATATAATTTAGTTTAAATAATTTTTTAACAGCAAGCAGCAGATTCTCCTTCTTAACTGTGTGGGAAAAACATGGGATTCAATATGGGGATAAACCTTATACCCATCCCATGTTTTTTCTCGCAGTAGAGGGTTTGGCTGGAAGGGAGCATTTGTCTTTTAGACATGCTCCCTTCCTATGACACTGTCATTGAGAGGCAACTTCATAGTTGCCTCCACTGCAGCATTTTTATTGGACAGCTTGAACCAATGGTGCTTTGCCCAGAGCGTCTTAGTAATGCACTGGACTCAGGACTTAGCAACGCATTGGACTCAGGACTTAGCAACGCACTGGCCTCTGGGCTTAGCAATGCACTGGACTTTGGGCTTACACATTGCTGCCACTCAGCACTGCCACTCAGCACCCGTACATCTGCACCCCCTACTCTAAACCTTCCTGCTTCCAAGCACCCCTGACACTACACCCCAACACCCCAGACAATGCACCTTTCTGCCACTGCATATTTCACCGCTGCTTCCTCTGTCACTACTCCTCCTCACCTCTGCAGGACATACAGAACGGAGGAGATATGGAGCCTGACATTTTTGGGCTTTCTGATCACTTTTTCTCCCTTTGGTGACATCACCTCCTACCCAGTGCAAGGAGTAGAGTCCAGTCAGTAATCCAGGTCTCAGGGGGAGCTGTGTGCATTGCATGTGTTTCCGGGGGAAGGGGGTTACGGTGCACACTTTCAGGCTGAGAGGAAGAGGGGAGAGATGTTATTATAAACCCACCTGCTGCCCTCATTACTCCAGAACCCTTGCATTGGGGCAGCTATCTTTAAGAAGTTCAACATCCAAATATATTCTTTATTTCTTTTACTTTCATGGTAAATATTTTATTTTAAATACATCAAAGCTATTTATCACTTCTATCTCCCAAACGGTAAGGGGAAAAGTAAAACTCAATTTACTTCCTATTATCTTTTTTTTACAATACCTATAGAATGTAACAGACCAATACAGAGCAAATAAGAGAAGCTCATTGTTAGGTTTTACATGCACTTTAAAAAGCATACAACGCGTCTGGTGCTTTATGTGAAAGTGATGTATGAATGTCCTGCTGTAGCAGTTGTTCTATTTCATCACAAAAGACATGGAATGTTCTGTCCATGTGTTTAGCGTTTTCATTTCTAAAGAACATTCTCACCCACCACACATTAGAACAGGTGCATGTAGACTTGAAAGAATCTAAACATAGATACCACAATTCCTTTACCACAATCTCTTTGTTGTCTGCCGTGGTCTGCTAACTGCCGAGGTGAAGCAAGGAAAACTTTGCTCTTTTAACTTAAGCATACTAGGAAAGTTTGTTTTTTTTTAATTTTATTTAATGTGAGTCCAAGACATTCCTGTGCTAGTTTATCATACTCTACCATTGTTTGCCCATTAACCTGACATAAACTGTCACTTTAAAGGTAACTCTCACAAGTAAACAGCTTTGTACAATAAATTATGCCATCAAATATATTTTTTTTAATTTTAGTTTTATAGTGCTGGGAAAACAGTCAGTCATAAAATGAAAGATGTGATGGGTATAACAGGCACTTTGAACATTCCTTCTTTGTAGCATGTATGTATTCTTTGAATGATGGGTCTCAATGGCTACTACACAATAAAAGTATTTTGTATAAACCCTTAAAGGACGTCTAAGAAACAAAGAAAAGTGTGTTGGAACATTTCGCTAATTATAAAATGCAGCATGTTTCCACCATGTCTCTTAGGGTGCCCTTACATGGGTGCTAAGATCCAAGATCTTCATGGTGGTTCTCTTACTCAGACTTTGACAGCTGTCATGGGCTGTCTGAGGACATCTGTGCTAAATTGAGGTTAACACAAGGTACATCGCATGCCCAGAGATCAGAAGATCCTGTAGTTCATCATTACAGTTTACCACTGTTGGCTGTCAAAAACTGCACAGGAATGCTAATGTTAAAGTGACACTAAACTCAGGAGTTACATTTTAAAAATATATTCAAGTACCTTAACAATTAACAAACATGTAGCTTATATGAGCATTACTAGGCTGTAGATCCTCAAATCCTGAATTCATGCTGACACTTTCCTTCCTTCTGGAGGGTGACTACTTTTGTTCCCCATGGTCCCTGTGTGTGTTGTAAAGTAGTCATCGCTCCAAGCTCGCTCCTGTGATGGACTACAAGTTCATGATTAGTTTACTAATTGGTACTGAGATTGTAGTCCATCACAGGAGTGAGCTTGGAGTAGTATGGAAGGATTAAAACTTCTAAGTTGTTTTTTTCCTGTCTGTGTCCTGCTGGAGAGATGTCACTTCCCATCCTAGAGATGCAACAGGAAATAGGAGGAAAGCTCTCCAGAGTGAACAGAATTCCTGTCTTAGAGAAAACAGGTGTCCCCATTGAAAGACTGTCCTATACCTCTTGCTCCAGTTACAACTCAAGATTTATGTCTCGGCGACCATGGTCACCAGGACAAATATAGGAGTGAATCTCCCCATGAAAGGACAGACAGTAATAAAAACCTGACAGAGGATCAAACTCTTCCCTATTCTATCCAAAAGAAAAAAATAATTTATTTACATGCACTTTAAGAAACTATCTGTAAAGAATAAGTCAAGGCAACTGGACTTGCTGTTTTTTTCTTTAAAACATTTCACTGGTCATCCAACAGCTTTCTCAATTCAGAATTACCAGTTACCTTGACTTGTTCTTTACAAATATACCATGACCTGGATAAATAAGAACCTTCACAGACACTTTAAGAAAATGTCTTTACGCTGCTATCTCTTTCATATAATTTTATTTGAGGATGCAGTGGGGAATTGCTGTGAGTTCCTGTACACCGGTAGTATCACAGGATACTCTACTCTAGTATGCCGGATATTTATAACTACATATTATATACTGTACAAATTAGTCTTAAATGTTCAACAACAGTCATTATGATGAATGTTACACCAAGGCAGTAGCAGTTTTTGATGGGAGTTATCACAACTTAATATAAGAATTCCTGAACTGCTATAAAATGGCAAAGACTTTGGCAATGTCTTGCCATCAATAAACATAGACCACACATAGAGTCATAGTTTGATTAATTTCTCTACATTTATTCAGAATAGCTTGGAATAATAGTTATTTTTACCTTTGTTTTGTTAAGTAGACATTGCATATCTGATAAGCTCTGTACAGTCATTCATTCATAGTTTTTATTTGTGAAGGAATTACAGTACATACTCTTGTTACGAATGTCGGCTGTGCTAGCTATATGTTCACCGACACACCTCTATGTGCTTGAAAAGTTCAAATAGTTCAAATACATTAAAATGAATTCAAACCAGAGATTATTATAAATCCCTAATATCTACATAACATATTCTAGATCTTCAAATAGGTTTGTATATTTGACCAGGTGTTTAGCTCTTAAATCAGTTGTTTAATGTCTTAAATCAGTTGGACAAATTAAGCTATTCAGGAACCAGTCTGTCCAATCTAAAATCCAGCAGGATTTTTATAGGAGCCAACCCCATTGACAACTAGAGAAAACCTTCAAAAGTTAGGTACCAACTGTAATTTTTAAGGGGCATTGGCTACCTGGCTCCTGGATTTGATCCAGCCCTGCTAGAAATCAGATGTAAATGATATAGATATTTAAACATATATTTAAACAGATAGAAATATCTTACCAGCTCCTGCTTGAGCCTGCGAAGGTACTGGTCCATGCTCCTCTTTTGTGTGACTAGTAACAGAAGTCCATTTGTTCTGTATGATATAAGCTTCGGTAGGTCTTTCTTTTTACTCAATGACCCAGCATGGGCTCTCTATGTCAGACTCAGCCTTATTTCACTTTAGCTTGTCGTAGAATACTTAGAATGCTATTGCTACTAAAAAATATTTTAAAATGCAAAAGAAGCCTAATTTCTTAGAGATCAGTGACCGGCACTCCAGACTTCTGTTGATGTGCTTCCTGTAAGAGCAGTTCAGGAAAGCTAGCTACAGCAGCTGACATGCTGCTCTCAGATCATGCAAATCTTTCCCAGAGCAGAGAGCAATGAAAAGGGATAACTGCTGCCCTCAGCAACCAATAGAAGCCAGTGGCTTCTGATGAGCAGACAAGCCCTGTCTATGTCTGTCCTATTACTCATTAACATGAGGCCACAAGAGGGAGTAGCTGGAGCAGATTGGCTATACAAAGCACTTTCCATCAATTGTTTCATCTCCAACCTTATTACTAAACAAAAGTATTAACATAGACCTAAACCCAATTTGTGAAAAATTTATAAGCTTTAACATGGTAATGTCATTTCAAAAGCTGATTGTGCCCGTGCGTGCCCGCTAGGGGGCGCGCGCGAGCAGAAAAAAATTGCCGTCTGGAGACGGCAACCCGCAGATGCTGCAGTGCCGTCCGTCCGTTTTTTTACTACGGGCGGACGGCAAGAGGTTAAATTGCCAAATTTTTATAGAAGCTATATAGAAGCTATAAAAATCTATTTTGGAAAAAGGCACAAGAGTATAATAGGTGTGAAACCTTCATACCAAACAAGTAGATGTACATTCTATCTGAATCACTTTTAACCACTTGCTGTCCAGAGCAATTTCTTACATTTGCACACACATGATAAAATCAGAATAATTGGCTAGAAAACAGCTTCAGACCCCCAAACAATGATATATTTTCTGAAAACAAAGGCCCTGTAGAATAAAAAGATGCTAGTTGCAATTTTTTATGTCGCACAGTATTTTTAGGATAAAATGCACTACAATGAAATTTAGTGCATAGAAACAGAATATAATACACAATTGTTTGGTAAAATATAAAAGACGGGGTCACGCTGGGTAAATAGATATAAAACATGTCAAGCCTTAAAATTGTGTGCGCCCATGAAACCGCAAAAAAGTACAATACGCAAAATTTCCCATAGGCGATGCTTTAAAAGCTTTTGCTGCTCCATCAGTTTAGTGTAAGCAGTGATTAATACTCTCACTCCGACGTTTGCGGCGACATGTAACATGTGTGGAGCAATTTTCGTTTTTGCGCGTAGGCGCACCCAATGCGTATTTGCGTTTGTATGTACGTGTATGTGGGGACGGGGGATTATAAAAAATGTTTTATATGTTACTTTAATTTTTTATTTTTTTTTCCAGACTTCTAATGTCACCCAGAGACCCCATAGAAGCTGATGAAGCAGAGATCTGCTTCACCAGCTTCTTCTCCTGGCTCTAAGAGCTGGAGAATGTACACAGTGACACCAGAAGTTCACTTTCGGGTCTAGTGATCAGAGGAGAGATCAACGGCTAGAAGCTTGCTGATCTCCCTCCGATTGGTGAGGGGAGACCCACTGTGCCGGTCCTGGGGGACAGCAGACCCTGCAGTAGCTGGCGGCGGAGGCAGGTGGGGATGGGGGGGGGTGCATTCTGCCACACCATACAAGCAATCACTTGTACATAAACAGAAATCACCCGCTGTTTAAAATGATATAATGTTCTTTGTATAACCGCTTCAGGACCAGGACTGTAAAGCCAGCAATTTTGCCAAGCTGGCAATGAGATGCTCGGCATGTGGGTGGTTGAGTGACCCGCAGCATGGGAAAATATATTTGCCTGGTCAAAGATGCTGCTGGACAATTTGGCATGTGGAGACTTAGGAGAGTTATGGTGAGGTTCAAGTCTATGCTTGGCCCCATGCTGACCATTTTCCCTGTTTGATGTGCCATAAGGTATGCCTCTCAACCCCTTTGCCAGAATTCCATTCTTATCGCTTGAGGGCACAGATGTTGCAGAACATGCAGATGGAGATTCTTGTAGAGCGGTGGGAGTTGTGGAAAGTGAGGAGTGAGGAGGAGGAGTGGGAGCCTTTTGCTGGTCACCAATAACATTTTGGTGGTGCCTCCACTGAGCTTTGTGTTGAATAATCATGTTCTCCTCATGCATGTGGTACCCAAAACTGGGACATTTAGAATGCTTGACACACTCAGGCAGAGGCTAAACCACTATGGTGCTGTTGACAGCAGATTTGTTGAAAAAGGACTAGACTGTTGAGCTGTGTGAAATGGCCAGGGAATTAGCTATGGTCTGCACCCATGGAGCAGTGCCATCCAGTGAAATAGTGTTGTAGTAGATCACCTGCACTCCATACAGCATTATAACCTTCCACAGTCATGGTGCTTGCAGTGATAACATGGATGGCACCATGTATCTCAAAGCATTGGGTGGAAGACCACCAGCACTTACAAGGTCCAAAGTATGAAATTTCTTTCCTCTTTATTAAACATGCGTCACATGCATCATTAAAGCTAAAGTTTCGGAGCCACACAGGGTCCCTTCGTTAGGGCGACATAGTGACTGTCACTATTTTTCCATGAAGAAAGGACCCTGCGTGGCCCCGTAACGCTGGCTTAGGCTTTGGTGATGCATGTTCAATAAAAAGGTTTTAAAATTTACACTTTACAAGCTTGTGAGTACTGGTAATCTTCTATCCAATATCCAGTGGAATAGGACAGCCGCTCCCTCCACTGCACTGCAGGCTGCTTCTGTCCCTGGATGAAATCCTGCCTAGCTGTTGCTGTGCCTGTCCCTCACTTTTCTCCTCTAGAATCTGTAGCACCCAGGTACCCAGTGTGCCACATCGTCATCCCCACTCTCCTAATTGCTTGAGCCCACCTGGCAGTAAGCAGGATAGCCATCTAGAGAACACTGAGCCAGTCACATCAGTATCTGTACAGAGGAGCTTACACTCTAATGCACAATGGCACCAGCTGTAGGGGGACTACAAATCCCAGCAATACATTTATACAGCAATGCAGAACAGCATATGAATTTGACTCTGGGCTTCGTGACCCCGATGGGCTCTGGGCTGTGTGACCCCGATTGTCTCTGGGCTTCGTGACTCCGATGGGCTCTGGGCTTCGTGACCCCAATGGCCTCAGGGCTTCGTGACCCCGATGGCATCAGGGCTTCGTGACCCCGATGGCCTCAGGGCTTCGTGACCCCGATGGCCTCAGGGCTTCGTGACCCCGATGGCCTCTGGGCTTCGTGACCCCGATGGGCTCTTGGCTTCGTGACCCCGATGGACTCGGAGCTTCGCGACCCCGATGGACTCGGAGCTTCGCGACCCCGATGGACTCGGAGCTTCGCGACCCCGATGGACTGGGTGCTTTGTGACCCCGATGGACTGGGAGCTCCGTGACCCCGATGGACTCAGGGCTTAGTGATGTGCTGAATTCTGGGATTAGTGACGCGCTGGACGCAGGGCTTAGTGACACGCTGGACGCAGGACCCACCTGAGAGTGACCCTGCAGGGCCCACCATAGATGCTGCACAGCCCATCTGAGACTATCTATGGTGGGCTTTGAAGGGGTCTCAGGTGGGCTGGTCAGGGCTGCATCCCCGTCCCTCCCAGCTCCTCTTACCTGCCCCAGCTGCCTGTACACCTGACTTCTCTGCCGCCGGACTGGCTGGAAGAGACGTGATGTCAGAAGAGGAGGGAGGTGATGGGGCCCCAGCTTGTCTCGAAGCCGCTGGAGCGGCAATGCTGGGGCCCTGCGCTGCTAGGGCCAGATCTCCTCCCGCGCTGCGGGGGCCCAGCCACTCCCTCGCCTTTCACCGTCGGCCAATACTCATGTAAGGCTGCCCGGGCGCCTCACATGAGTATCGGCCGTACCCCCCCTGATGGCAGCCCTGGCAATAAGCTGTTGCTGCAGAAAAACTAATGGCAATTGCTGCTCCCATACTGTTGTCCCCTCCCTCTATGTGCCTGTACTCTCTTCATCAACATCCAATAATGAGAATTCTTGAGCATGATCCTGCATCACATTATTCATGCTGTGTTGAAATATTTCTGCTGACTCCTCTAGAGCCACAGAGGGATTAGCTGTAGAGGAAGAAGTGCATTTGTGCCGCTGCTGGGTAAAACACTGTTCTGTTCCTGGGAGAAGGAAGAAGAAGGCTTGGTTAGGCACTCAATGAACTCCTTCAAAACCCCTGGCTGTACAGCACACCTACCGTATTTTGCGGTCCATAAGACGCACCGGACCATAGGACGCAGGGAGGTCCGGCGCGCCTTATGGAGCACTCGAGACTAGCTTCTGTCGTGATTACAGCGCCACGGTCTCAGTGATGACACAGATCAGGCGAAGAACGTCTATTCTTCGTCTGCTCTATGGTTATCTCGATCGTTGCCGCTGCTCGGTTTTAATACGAGTGATCTCATTAGATCACTCGTATTAAACGAGCAGTGGCTCCTGCTGCTGAACTCGATCGCCGCCGCCGCCGCTCGGCTTTAATACGAGTGATCTTGTTAGATCACTCGTATTAAACGAGCAGTGGCTCCTACTACTCGCCCGGCGCCCGAAACTGCATGTCTCGGGCGTCGGGATTCGCTCCATAAGACGCAGGCACTTTTTCCCCCTCCTTTTGGGGGGAAAAAAGTGCATCTTATGGAGCGAAAAAGGCAGACATGTCCTGCCTTTCAACCACTACTTTGTGCTGCCTGCAGATGCAGAACTTTCCCTTCCCCTACTAGCTGCATGTGAAGAATCTCAGCCTCTCCCTTCAGGCCTCCCAGGCATGATGAAAACAGGGGACTGACTAACTTTACTAGCAGCTATGGCAATAGGGGGGACTAAGGATGTGGTACTATAGCAGGGGTCAGCAACCTTTTACACCCCGAGTGCCATTTTTGCAACCATCAGACAACTGGGTGCCAATGAATAATAGCGCACCA